TTTTATTTATTCTTTCAAAAAATCAACTCTTCTATTCATTGAATTTTTGTATCATTCTGTTAGACTCCATTGTATTGATTTCTGCTCTGATCTTTGTAATTTCCTCCCTTGCACGAACATTGGGTTTGTCTTGCCCTTTTTCTAGGAACTTGAGGTTAAGCATTAGGTTGCTTATATGAACTCTGTTTTCCTAATATGGGCATTCACTGCTGTGAATTTCCCTCATAGAACTGCTTTCATTGTGTCCCATAGATTCCTGTATATTCTGTTGGCATTATCATTTAATTGTAGAAACTATCTAATTTCTTCTTTAATGTCCTCTGTGACCCATTGGTTGTTCAGGAGAATGTTATTCAATTTCCATGTGTTTTGGGGGTTCTTGCGGTTTCTTATGCTATTGATCTCCAATTTTATTGTACCATCTTCTGATAATATACAGGGGATAACTTCAATTCTTTTGCATTCATTTAAGCATGTCCTGTGATCTAGCATGTGGTCTATTTTAGTGAATGACCTGTGAGCAGCCAAAAAGAATGTATAGTCTGATTTTGTGGGGTGGAATATGCTATAGACATCTGTTTAGTCCATTTGTTCAAAAATTTTGTTCCATTCTATTATTTCATTGTTGATTTTCTGTCTAGATGATCTATTTGTGATAGTGGAGTATTGAGGTCTACTACAGTTGTATTAGTGCTTGTTTGGTTTTTCATGTCTATTAATATTTGTTTTGTATAGTTGGGAGCACTAGTATTTGGTGCATATATATTTACTATTGTCATCTCTTCTTGGATTGTTCCCTTTACAAGGGTGTAGTGACTTTGTCTCTCTTAATTAGTTTTGGTTTGAAATCTACCTTGTCTGCAAATAAAATAGCTACTCCTGCTTTTTTCTGGGTTCCTGTCACATGGAGAGTTGTTTTCCATCCTTTTACTTTCGTCTATGAATTTCTTTTTGAATTAAGTGTGTTTCTTGTATACAGCATATTGTTGGATTTGGCTTTTTAATCCATTCTGCCAGTCCATTTCTTTTGATTGGTGAATTGAGGCCATTAACATTGATGGTTATAATTGATACATATTGACTCATCCTTGTCATGTTATTTTACTGTTGTTCGCTCTTTTATTTTTTATTTTTCCCCCTTCCGTTTAATTTCTTGCCTTGCCTGGTGGCTTTGCTCTGTTAGTCCTCATGGAGTTGTGACCCTCATTGCCTTTTTCTAGGATATTGTTTAGAATTGTGTGGAGTGCTGGTTTTGTATTCACAATGTTTCTCAGGTGTTCTTTTTCATGGAAGTATCTAATTTCCCCATCAATTCTGAAAGATAAGTTTGCAGGATACAGCAGTATAGGTTTGAGGTTATTTTCTTTTAGGGCTTGAAGTACCTCATTCCAACTCTCCTTGACTTGAGAGTTTGTGTTGAAAAGTCTGCTGTGATTCTGATGTGCTTTCCTTTATATGTGATTTGTTTCTTTTCTCTAATTGCTTGTATGATTTTGATCATCTGTTGGGTTTCTGCGATCATGACTTGTGTGTCTAGGTGTAGACTTTTTTTGGTCATGGCTAGTTGGAGTTCTATATGCCTCACTTATCTGTATGTCAAATTCTTTTCCTCTGTTTGGGAAGTTTTCTCTCATTAATTCTGTGAACAGATTTTTTTATGTCCTTTGTACTTTCTTCTGCTTTTTCGTGGACTCCTGTCAGTCTTACGTTATTCTTCTTTGCATCATCTAGCAGCTGCTGGATCGATTTCTCATGGTGCCTTACTATTTTTAAGAAAGCTCTTTTTTCATAGTCACTAACTGCAATCCTGTCTTCTATACCTGATATTCTGTCTTCATATTTGCTCAATCTGCTGTGAATGCTTTCAATGGATTTTTTTGGTACCGGGGATTGAATTTGGGTCCTTCTGCTTGTGGGGCAGGTGTCGGAACCACTGAGCTAAATCCCCAGCCCTCAATGGAGTTTTTAATCTCCTGAATATCTGTTTGAATCTGTTTTGTGGATTCCATTCCTTTCCTATGCTGGGCATTCATAGCGTCCAGCATGGTCCTGAGCTCATCTATTTTTTTTATCTGTTTCTGTTCTAGAGTCTCTAATCACGTCTTTCAATCTCCTCACCATCTCTGTAGCTATCTGGGAAATTATTTGTTTTGAATTTTTCTAGAGCCTCATTCATATGTTTGTTATTTCCTGTACTTTTAGTTCAGGATGTACAAGTGGTTGATTATCAGATTTTTCTACCCCGTTTCCCCCAGAATTTGCCTTTGGTGAGCTGCAAGTCTTGCGCTTGCAAGGCAGGCACCGGAACCACTAAGCTAAATCCCCAGCCCTGTCTTCTCATTTCTAATTTTGTTATTGGTGCTGTTTTTTTGGTTTAATTCCTGGGCTGGTACTTCAATATTGCTTATTGTGAGTATCTTTATTACTTGTATTTAGAGCCCTTATGGAGTGATTGGTTGTCAGAGATATCTTCCAGGTCTAGCTGGTCTTTTTAGGTTTTGAGTCTCTAATGGCTCTTATGTAATCAACAAGGTAGTCCAGTGTGCCTTTATTGCAGAAGTTTTCTTCACTTTCCCAGTAGCCTTCAATTTTCATTGAAGAGCCTCAGAGAGGCCCTCTCTCTGTTGTTCACTTCTGCTCCATCTTCTGGAGCTCATAACCATTGCCTTTATGGCCTCTTGGTGCCTCTGCACTGTGTATTCAGATACTGTGTGGGAGGGAGGGAGGGTCCGGGAGCATATTGATGGTTTTTTTTTTAGATAAGGTCTCACTAAGTCACTGAATTGTCCAGGTGAGGCTCACCTCAGCCTCCCAGAGTGCTGTAATTATAAATGTGCACCGCCATACCTGCCTTGGCTATCTTTTTTACAGAGGGTGAAAGTTGAGGAACAAGAAAACATCAAAAATGTAATGGGAAAAAAAGAAAAGAAAAAACAACCACCTACCTTTAGGGCTGGGAATTTAGCTCAGTGGTGTTGCCTTGCAAGTGTAAGGTCCTAAGTTCGATCCCTGGTACCAGAAAAAAAATTTAATGGTACATTTGAATGAACTGAGCATTTGATTGGCTGGGGCGTAGTTTGTCAGGGTAGGCAAGCAGCCATTCCATAATTTGCAAAACAAGAATGCCTACACCCCTATTTGTGGAAAAGATTAAATGACTCTAGGTCAAAAATTCATTGAGTTCTGAGTGAAAAGGTAGTAAAGCTAACATCATCACAGATAGTGATAATACAAAAAGGCAGTAGATAAAGCTAAGACATCATTACAGATTCTGATAAAACTAACAGATTAGTAAGGGTTTTTTTTATAGTTCCTATTTCAAATTAGATTTCTCAAAGTACCTAAAATATATTATCTACCTGTAATCCCAACACTTGAGAGGCTGAAGCAGGATGACTGGAAGTTTGAAGCCAGCCTGGGCTACATGACAAATTAAAGCCCAACCTGCACTACACAGCAAGACCCTGCCTATAAATAAACAAATAAACTCTGTGTGTAATCAGATAAGATTGTATGGCTTTTTAATTCACCTTAAATTGTTGAACTTATTGTCCCCCAGTCCCTGTAATATTAGTGGGACTGGCTCTGCTCATGCATCTGCTTACTGGCATCCTTACACTGTTCATTTCTACCCTTGGTGTGTGCTGTTGCTCTTCAAAAGTCTGCCAAGTCCTCCCTGTGTTTTCCGCCTATCTAAATCTTGTCTTTTCCACAAAGTTGAGTTGAAACCCTTTCTCCTCTGCAGACTTTGATATGTCCCACTCTGTTAGATCTCCCTGTTACTGGGAAATGAACCCAGGCCTTCAGTGAGCTACATCCCAACCTCTGCCCACCCACCCCCCCTTGCATCTGAGACAGAGTCTTGCTGAGTTACCCAAGCTGGGCTCAAACTTGCAAACCTCATGCCTCAGCTTCCCAGAGTGCTGAGCTTACAGGTGTGCCCTTACCCTGGCCTCTATACTCCTTTTGACTTAATATTATACAGTTCAAGATCTAGCTATCTTCTGATTTAAGTGTGTCCCCTTTGTATCCTCAGTTGTGTTGGCTTGCTTGTGTTTGTTCTGAATTCTGATGTAGAAAAATAAGAATAAGGAACAAAGGAGGATGAAGTTAAGTCTTTAAGCTTAGAGTAAGAATATAGAGGTGGAAGGGAGACTTGGTTCAGCACATGCTTAGTGGGACCTGCCTGTGGGACCTGGACAGTTAAAGATGTAAATGTCCTATAGAGAAAAAAATGAGTTGACTCCTTACTCCTTCATGTACCTTAATAGTACTCTTTGAAGTTTATTGCTTATCCACTTAGCTCCCCACCACATTTTTTTTTTGTCTGGTACGGGGGATCAAACTCAGGACCTTGCGCTTGAGAGGCAGGTGTGGTGCCACTGAGCTAAATCCCCAGCCCCGCTCCCCACCACTTTTTGAGATCATATGAACTCTTCCTTTATTTAGCTATCTTCAACTGTTTTGCTTCTCATGAATATTCTTTAAGCAGAAAAATTACATTCACATATTACAAGAGTTGATTCAGTTATTGAACTGAATCATAAATTTTAGTAGGACATAGCACATATAATCTTTAAATGTGTTGGTTCCTTGCTTTTTCTACTTCTATTAGTTAATAACATCAATACATGTAACTTGGATTTCTAAACTCTTAAAAAATAAAAGTTTTGTTTTTATATCATACATATCAAATTTGGAACAAAGTTTATGCTGTGATTTGTTGGTTGTCATATTTACAAAGATGTTTAATTTACATAGGAAATACAGTATCTTCATTGCATTATAGCAGTTACTTGCTTTTGACTGTAAAAATATCTATTATTTAACTAATAATTTAAATAAAAATATTTTTAATGGCTGAAAATTATTACTAGATTTGAATTTGCCTGAAGAGTTGGTTGGATGAAGCAAAAACTATTTTTAATTAATGTTAAATATTTAAAACTTTCTCAAGATATTATGGACTTTAAAACCTTAATATTTCTTTTTTCCATTAGGTGCCTGCATTATTGCTTACTGGAGATATGGTTCATGGCTTGGTGCAATCAGTTGTCCAATATGTAGACAAACGGTAATGTTTTATAGCCAGAAAATATTATTTATGCAACTTCATTTTATTTATTTGGTTGACTGGAGTTTTCTGGAGTTTTTTTTAGTTTATGTAACCTTCAGGTCCCACAGGCTTTACTACTGAGCTAAACTCCCTGACCATCATTTGTAAATTTTGATTTTTGTATTTAAATTTTGAATTATTTAAATTTTTTAATAGAATATCATTGATCTAAAGCTTGTGATTTTACTCAGTTATTTAAAAAGCAAAAACATCTCTAACACACTGTAGAAAAAAGACATTTTATTTGAAATCCTACAGTTGCACTAAAAAACAACTAAGAAACATCCTGCCCAAATTATAAGTCTGTTGCAAAACCAGCAAAGGAATAATTGAACTAGCTAATCACACTTACGCATATATCTCTGACATACACTTCTTAAGGGGGTGCTGTTTTTCCTTTTTTATTTATATTTAATCTGCTTTTTGTTTGTATACTTTTAGGGGGAAGAGGTGCTGGGGGTTGAACCCAGTGCTTCGTGCATTCTGGGAAAGCGCTGTACCACTGAGCTACATCTCCAACCCTGGCCTTTTCTTAGTGAGGGTCCAGATATCTTTAAGTGCTGTAGAATAATTTATTTAATGTTTCATTTTTTTAGAGATATAGCCACATTGCATTGTCTAGAACACATTAGACATTAGTAAGGCATAAGTTTTTGTAAGTGTAAATTTGAAGACAAATATTAGCAGAGATGAGATTTGCTAATTTTTCTCTGACAAATTGGAGAAACAAAATACTGTACTAAATAATTCTGAAAAAAAGTTTTTATTTTTTTAATATAGCACAGTAGTTCATTCTGTCATTTATATATGGGGTTTTTTTTCTTTTAAACAAAAATATATACCTTTCTCCTAACAACTTAGGATCATGTAAATAGATAGCATTTTCTTTGGAAGTCTTCTAGCATATAAAATAAAGTCCTTGGGCCAGGAATGTAACTCAGTGGCACGGTGTGTGCGTGTGAGTTTGGTTCCCAGTACCAAAAAAAAAAAAAATGAAAGTCCTAAAATGGAGAGAGAACTTTCAGGTAAAATTGTTCAGTTGAATGCATACACTTATTGTTTGTTTCCTCCAGAAACTTAAGACAACAGAGACTTTTGTAAAGGCCTAAACCTACAGAGACCAAAAAAATAAAGTAAAATGATAAAAGGGAACAGCTTTTTAAAAATTCTTTATTTTGTGTGATTTTCTGTTTGGCTGTTAAATTTCACAAAGTACAACTCAGTGAATTAGAGAAACAGTGGTAATCACTACCAGATAGAGAACTACAAACTGGCCACCTGGCCCCAGAAGCACCCCAGGGTTCCCTTCAAATCTTTCCCTCTCCTTCCTCACCTAGCTCTAGCTTTTCTCTAACTTTTGTGGTAGGCATTTCCTTGATTTTGTAAATCAAGGAAATTTTGTGTTGCCTTAGCATGCATCTCTTAAGATTTTTGGGGGGCGAGGGGGTGGTCTGATTTTTTACCTTTGCATAAAAGCATACTATATGTATAGTTTTATACATGTCCATACACATACACACATACAGAGTCCACCAAAAAAAAGTATACATTGGGAAAATAAAAACTTGTATAAATATTTTAATACTAAATTTATTGAGATGTCATGAGATTGATACAATTTACCTTTGGCCTCTACAATTAATTGCAAGAGTTGCTCAAGTGTTGGCCATTAATTCCAGACATAAATTAGTATGGTGAACTGCTGAGTTGTGTATACATTTTTTTTGTGGACTCTGTGTATGCCCTTATTCTGGTACCATCACTGGTTTTTTTTGCGGGGGGGGGGGGGTTGGTGCAGAAAGAGGTCCAAATGTTTTCTTAACTCCTTGCTTCCATAATCTCAAATTCTACCTCACCCATATTTTACTTTTTTCATGAGGTCAGAGAGAGAATGGATTTTTTTTTTGTATTGCTTCTTCAGTTGATTTGATCTTTGACACAAAGCAATCAACACTGAACATTGAAGCTAATTTATCAGTACCATTTATCATCTTTTGCCATCTGCCAGTGACATAGAGACGAGGTAGTAGGTCTTGCATTGAAGAATTAGTCCCTGATCTGTCTTCTTTACCTGTGGATTTTCACAGGGCATTTGTATGTTCGCAAGTGGTAGCCTCTGTACTGCCCACATAGTGACTAGAGGGTAATAAGGTAAAAATGAGGTTATTTGTATAGTTATTGGTTCCCTAACTGTAAAGTAATTCATCCTCAAGACAAGACAGATGGCAAGTACTGCTCTGCCTCCAGTTTCACTGGCCTCCTTTTGTAAATGGTCATAGGAATAATAAAGCATAGGCCGCTCTGCCTCTGGCTGGACCACACTCATCACTTCTCTCTGTACATTAACACCAAATAGTCCTACCCACATCAAGGCTTAGCTTTAAGTTTCAAGGTTTCTGACTCCCCAGCAGAAATCCTTCTTTTCTTTTCTTTTTTTTTTTTTTTTTGTACTGGGGATCAAACTCGGGTCCTTGAGCTTGCGCAGCAGGCGGCGAAACCACTGAGCTAAACCCCCGGCCCAGAAATCCTTCTTTTCTAGCATTGCTATAACATCACCCCTAGTGCTATATAACCCACTGTGGAACAGGCCTGACTCCCCTTCTAGTTTGAGTATTGACGTGACTCGGGCAAGGCCACATCTTTGTTTATTTTCTATTTGTAGCACTAACACAGTGCCTAACCTACAGTAGATGCTCAATTTTTTTTTTTGTACCGGGGATCGAACTCGGGTCCTTGTGCTTGTGAGGCAAGCGGTGGAATCACTGAGCTAAATCCCCGGCCCAGTAGATGCTCAATTAATGTTAATTGACAGGATGAATTTTTATTAATAAACCTATGAATGAAGAAATGGCTGCCTCTACTGATCCTACTTACTGGGATTAGTCACTCCTTTGTTGAGCTGTTTGGAAAGCCTCTGAACAGTGGGAAGCCCTGGTTTTACAGCTGGAACTAGAAAAGGATAAAAACAATAGCTAGGTAGTTTAAAACAACCTGTCCTACTCCCATTTTTAACTCATCTTTTATTTTTGGGACCGGGAATCGAACTCAAGGCCTTGTCCTTGCCAGGCAGGTGCTGTACCACTAAGCTACATCCCTAGCCCTTTAGCTCATCTTATAACCCAGCAGTGACCGTTTTCTGTAGGTTGTATTTTAAAATGTGTTTCTCTCTCTTTCTCTCTCTCTCTCTCCTGTCCTTTCTGTTTCTTTCTTTGTCTTTCTGTCTGTCTGTCTTTCTTTTTTTGTTGGTACTGGGGCTCAAACTCAGGATCTTGTGCTTGCCAGGCAGGTGCAGCGCCACTGAGCTACATCCCTGGCCCAAATGTTTGTTTTTCAAGGTCTTGTTACCTTTAAATTATCCTAATATAGTTCTGGGACATTGGTGTATCCTTCTTACCACAAGGAAGGAATCAGGGTTAAAGATATTATGTTCTACAACTGTATCAAGAGCTACAATTTTTATTTAGTAGATTTCAGTGTTTGAGAGTTGCTTCTTCTAATAACTTAATCTGCATATTATCCATATTATGGTAGCATTCAAAAATATGTCAAATAATAGTAAGAATAAAGAATCTTTTTTTCTTTTTTAATACTGATAATTAAACCCAGGGAGTCCTGAGCTACATCTCCTCCACATTTTATTTTTAGTTTTTGAGACAGGGTCTCAGTAAGTTGGCCTCAAACTTGAGATCCTCTTGACCTAGCCTCCTAGTAGGTAGGATTACGGGCATGTACCACCACGCCCAGCTAGAAATCATTATTTAATACCAAAGCAGAAAAATCTGTTTTTTCTCTCTCAAAGTGATAGGTTCTGTACATATTTTTAATGTCACTTTGCTCCTGAAAGTTTTCTCATCATTCTTATATCTTCAATATATATTTGCCCAAACAGAACTACTGAATTTATCCCTGTGTGGGAGAAAAGTATTAGAACTAGTGTTTGGATTCCCATTTTGTCTTATAGGGGTTCAAATATATTTTGCTTTGTGTGTGTGTGTTTGTGTGTGTGTGTGTGTGTGTGTGTGTGTGCTGGGGATCAGACACAGGGCTAGGCAAGTGCTTCTCCCATTGAGCTACATTCCCAACCCCTTACATTGGATTTTACTATAAGGCAATAACCTACTTGTTTTCCCTGCATGTTGTCTTTATTAAAAGAAATGAGTAAAATATTAATTCAAAAGCTTTTCTCATTCTATTGAAACAGAAACTGAAAAAGTTGGTGCAGAATATTTAAGAGCTTTTTCTTATAATTATAGGTAACTTTACTCCTAACGATATTTGGTGACACTGATCAATCTCAGGATGTTGTAAGATTATATCAAGATGTTAATGATTATAATCGGAGATTCTCAGGGCAGCCCAGATCTGTGAGTATTATTACAACAGTGGAAAATTAGAGAGAGTTATTATATTTCTTTTTGTAAAGGTTTTACTATTTTTGTTTTATTCTATCTTATTTACCCTGCTTTTCTATTTGACTCATTTTAGTTTCTCATACCCTAACAAATAAATCTGTGAACATGACAGAATGTGTACTTCTAGAACTGAAACTCTACAAAGAGAAGATTTTCCTTGAAAGCCACGAAATCTCTTCTGGGCCCCAGACTGAGTCTGATGCTTGACTGACATTTCTGTCTGGCCAGGCACCTCACACTTAACATGTGGAATGTTGAACTAATTCCTTCCTTGACTCATTCTTTTCTGTTTTGATTTCCTCTTCTCCCCATTTCTCTCATCTGATCTATAAGTCCTATCATTTCTTGCTCTTTTCTGGGTGCCTGTTATTTTTGCTTCATAAAAAATATGATGTTGTACATCTCTCAGTCACCAGAGTAATTGTGCTAGCCTAAGCTATTGTCATCTGCTCTGGCTAACCGCCCCCCCCCAACACACACACATACTTCTACTTTTTTCTCTACTCAGCAGCCTAGTATTTTCAGGCCATGATGCTCTCATGTTTTAAAACTTCCAAGTTTTTGCCAGGCATGGTGATGCAGGCCTGCAGTCCCAGCACTTAGAAGCCTGAGACAGGAGGATTGCCACAAGTTGACGGACAGCCAGGGCTACATAGTTTAAGGCTAGCCTGAACTACAAAGTGAGACTCTGTTGGGGCGGGGGCGGGGGGGGGGCTTCCAATAATTGGTACCAGAGATCAAACTTGGGACCTTGCGCTTGGAAGGCAGGCGGCGGAACCACTGAGCTAAATCCCCAACAAGATTTCCAATATTTGAACTAATGTTCTTATTCCTTCCTGTTATTCACAGGGCCCTACTTGATCTAGTCCTCCCTCCCTCTATCCTTTGCACTTTGCCTCACTGACCACACTTAATCCCTTAGAGCATGCTCTTCAGTTCTTCCCACCTTCAGGTCTTCACATGAGACATTTTCTTGGCTTTGCCTCCTTGTTCTCCTAATTTCCTACTTCTCATCCCTTTGATGATAACTGTCTTAAATAGACTCTCTTCAGAGAGGCTTTTCCTGACTAGCATTGCCCCCTGTACATTTCCTTCATAGCATTTTATCACAGGCAGTAATCAATCCAATCTTGCATATTATTTCTCTGTGAATAGACTAAAAAGCATGAGGGCAAGGATTTGTGTTTTTTTTATTTACTACTACATTCTCAGTGGCATATTTAGTGCCTGGGGTTTAGACTTGTGTTTGTTGAATAAATTAATGAGTTATACTTAAGATAAGAATTGATACTATGGTTCCCAGCCAAAAATATTAAGCTATTAAAATACTTCAGTATTAAACAAATGTGTGCTTTTCTGCTTCCTAGTTCTTTGCTATATAATGTCATGTATCATTTTCTAGGCGTTTAAGCAATAAAGACACCTATTATTTTTACTTTCTTTTTTTTTTTTTGGTACCGGGGATCGAACTCGGGTCCTTCCACTTGCAGGGCAGGTGGTGAAACCACTGAGCTAGATCCCCGGCAAGACACCTATTATTATCCTCTATAATTGTTTAGAAACCTCTTTTGCTATTTTTAATCCAGCAATATTTTTATGGTATATGTTGAAATCACAATATAAAAAAGGCATTTAGCTCTTTAATATTCTTCCACAGTTTGAGTAAGAATATGTTTAATAGACAAGTATTTCTTAGTAACTTTGTATTTCTTGCCTAATTACTGCAGATTTTTGTATAAATTATATCACATTAGAAGTGAATAAAATAGCTCTGAGAAAGAACAGAAAGATATTCAGAAGATATACTAGATTTTCATGACAATATTTAAAATAATTTACCATAGGCTTAGTGGAAGCTGTGTAGCTGGGGTTTTTTATTAGTTCCTTCCATAAAGAAGTAGAAAATTAACATAGAAAATTATTCTAAAAAGATCATTTTTTAGTCTTGTGACCACTTTTCTAAAAGGAGTACAAGTTTTTTTCTAGGGGAGCTTTTAAAACTATTTTCTCCTCACTCAGCTTTAAAAAATTTTTGTCTCCTCTTTTTCCTCAATAACCTTGGTTCTTGTTAAATAAAATGCCTACCCAAAATTAGACTTAGGATTCTGATACTGATGGTTAGTAATAGCTGAACTCTATGCAGAGGAATAACCAGAAGTGATTCACTGTGAGGAATTCATTTCACTGTGATACTTAATACCTCTCAAAGTTCATGTATCTCTAATACATAGTTTACAAAAATTTTTCATGTATAACCTCTTAATTTCTAATAATCCCTATGGATTACTCAATGCTCAAATTACTAAATGCTCAATTAGTTGAATTATCTCTTATGGGTTAAAACAACTGTCCCCAAGATCACCTGGCTAATGGGTGACCGACTTTGAATTCAAACTCAGGCCCATCTCTTTATAAAGTGGACATTGAAGCTCAAGGCTCAGATTTGTTCTGTATACAAAGTTTTTGGTTTAGTTCATTTTACTAACTCACATTAGAGATAACTTGAGTTTTACACAACTACAAGTTGAGTATCCCTTATCTGAAGTACAATGGGACCAGATTTCAGAGTTTTTTGGATTTGGGAATATTTGCATAGGCTTTACCAGTTGAACATCTCTAATCAGAAAATCCAAAATTTGAAATGCTCAAAAAACTTTTTGAGTGATGCTCAAAGAGTTTCAGGTATTGAAGTATTTTAGATTCAAGTATTGAAGTATTTTAGATTTCAGAGCATTTTGGATTTTGCAGCATTTCCAATTTTGGGCTTTTAGATAAGGGATACTTAACCTGTATATCCCATATTTTAAGCTTTGTTGGCATTTACTTTTTTTGTTTTTTTTTTTCAAATTACCTGCAATAAGACCTATTTTGTAAGAAGCTAGTAAAGAACTATATTTAAATAAAATGCATTATGAGAAAATAAGTATCCAATCAGTACACAAAATTCTTTGATTCATCTTGAGTTTGAACATTGTAAAAACATTATGTTGTTTTTAATCTGACATATTAAATGCTATTTCATAATATTTGTTTTTCCCTCTACCAGATTATGGAAAGAATCATGGATCTACCCACTTTACTGAGACATGCTTTCAGGGAAATGTTTTCAGTTGGGGGTCTTTTCTGGATGTTTCGCATTAGGATAATACTTTGTTTAATGGGAGCTTTTTTTTATCTTATATCACCTCTAGATTTTGTACCTGAAGCCTTGTTTGGAATTCTAGGCTTTCTAGATGATTTCTTTGTCATCTTTTTGTTGCTTATCTACATCTCTATTATGTATCGAGAAGTTATAACCCAGAGGCTAACCAGATGAATAAAGAAATGAATTTAACTAGAATATTTGAGCTAAAGTACAATACCAAACAGAAGGACTCATGTTAGTATAAATTAGCTAAATATTATCTTCTAAGGTTAAAACCACTATATGACAAACATCAGATTATCATTTGACAGATGCCTAGCAATATATAACTGGAATTTTTACATGTTCTAATATTAAGATCAGAATTACAATAACTTAGAGCTGTATGTTGATTCTATGTTGTCTATAAAGTCTCTGGGAAAATATGGAATTACTAAAAAAGAAGTATTTTGACATCTTTTCCCCAAAATTACTTAGATTAATTGGATATGCTATACAGTATTGTTAAATGTAGTTTATCTTTCTTAATAGCTACCTATACAATAATATGTAGCTATGAAACTCATCTAAATATTTTTGTTACAATAAAATATTGGAGAAAAGTTAGTGTTTCTTTTAGTACTAGCTAAATTTTGTGCAGTGGGAGCAGTTATGCTTTTCCATTCAGGTATAATTCTTTCTTACCAGCTGAAACTGAAGAAACTTGAGCTTTATAATTTGACTTCATATTCTAGTTTATGGAACATTTTTTAATCAATAGAATTAACAAGATGAAGGCATTTATCTCCAGTTAGCATACTTGATGTTCATAGTTATGACATTTGTACAAGTTTGGTCCTTTGATAGGAATACAAACAGAAATAACTCATAGGGCTGGGGATTTAGCTCAGTGGTTCCGTCGCCTACCCTGCAAGTGCAAGGACCCGAGTTCAATCCCCGGCACTAAAAAAAATTACAAAAAACATTGTTTTAGAAGCCTGGGTGATACTGTGTTTCTGAAGAAACTGGATCATTATATCTATTAGCACCAAAGCCCTTAGGGAGGTAATAACACTATTTAAATTTGATGAGAAAAATTACTGGTTAGCTCTAGTAACAGAATGGACAAATTTGGTTGTGCATTGTCAGAAAAGTTTTATAATTCTGTCTCCTAGCTGGCAGCATATAACTCCATTTCCTGTCTTGTGCACAATGAGCACACGTGTCGGAGGTGATTTTATTGCATAGGGAAGCTCTTACGTTTGTGTTTGTATTCTGATGGCCATGGCATGAGTATCTAATGCTCTCTTTACACATTTCTGTTGGAGACTAGTCAGTACAAGTATTACAGGATCCTTTCTCATTCTTTTGGCATTGCTCATTGGTGGCCTGAAGAAAGCAGGATGTCAGTGTGATCTTTGTTACCTGCAGTCACTGATACTAATATTATCCATCAATTTGTTACTGAGCCTCATTGTGTGTACACAAGAAAAAAAAGAGAAAACCTATCGATTTTCCCACGTTAATCAGCTTGGCCATCAGCTAATGAGATTCTGAATGTAGTCAATTTATGTTTTCTAATTTGGACCTAGGACAGAGCTAGTGCTTTTCATAGAAATAGGAATGCTTAGATATAGCCCACTGTAGTTACAGCAATTCCTCATACTTTTCATTTTATCCTTAGGGAAATCTTGTGAGGAAGGAATGGCATTTACCTTCCTTTTCATAGATGAAATCCCTGTGGTATTGATGAAAGTTTTATCTTTTGCCAGAAGTCATAGAACAAATAAGTGGTGGTTGTTAGGTAGACATGAAGGATGTTAAGGAGATGCAGGAGAGAAATTGGAATCCTTTGGAAGTCTTTCATAGTGCATTATTACTTCACTGGAATAAGACACTTAGGTGCTCCTAAGAGAAAAAGGCCTAGAAAGATGACACATCAGAAACTTCATGAATTCTAATTCTATACTTCCAAACCAACCTTCTTGAGAGAGTGACTGATGTATGTTATAGAAAAATATTTCAGCTCAGGTATGTTTGAAAAATTCAGTGAGTAGGAGGTTATTACACCAGACTGGAAATGCATATCCTACCCATGATAAATCTGGTGTGGGACTATAGCAACATCATTTTCTGAAAGGACTTTATTTTCTGTGTATGTGTTCTCCAATTTGTTGAATTTCTGGTTATAATAATTTTGTAATGTCTGGAATTATTACTGCTTTCTTGGTTGAGATGTACCAAATTTTGTAACATACAAAAGCACTGTATGATCTGAGGTATTTATGAAACTGAAAAATAAACATTCTGACATCTCAGAATTTTAGACCTAATTTTAAGGTCATTTTCACTGATCACTAGTGATAAATACAGAAGAGATCTGAAAGTAAAGTATAGTCAATCAGTGTTTTAACCATCACAGTAATACTTGTATGATTCAGAGTTACATCATGTTAAGTCAAAGCAACTATTTGATTTTTTTTTTAAATGCTGGAACTGTTTCAAAAACAGATGGTCCAACCCAAGGAGCAGATCACAGAAACAGTTCTAACTGCCACTTAATAGTAGTTTCAACTCCTACAGTTCTCAGCATTTGAGAGCAAGGACAGAAGGACTCGTGCTGATTGATCCCTGTGGCTTTGCAGATACCTACCTCACAGAGTTGGTGGAGAAGATTGACTGGTTCAAATTTTGTGATTTGAAGTTTGTCAAATATTTAATTCTTCTGAATAAAAGCAGCATATCTAAAAATTTTTAAAAGGTGTGATTTCTGTGTTTAATATTATATGCTTTAAAATTTAGAACTGTTGGGCTGGGGATATAGTGCAGTAGTGCCCCGCCAACCTACAAGTGCAAGGTCCTGAGTTTGATTCTCAGTAGTGGAAACAAATAAATAAAATTTAGAACTCTTGAGAGCATTAATTATAATGATTGCAATGGTTTTTGTCTTGTTTTGCAGTACTGAGGATTGAACCCAGGACCTTTGCACTGAACTATATGCCCAGCCCTTTTTTAGTTTTTAAGACAGGATCTTAAGACCCTGTCAGTAAATTGTCCAAGCAAGGCCTGAATTTGTGGTTGGCCTGCTTCAGCCTCCCACAGTGCTAGGATTACAGGTGTGCACTGCCATGCCTGACTACGATGGGGTTTTTTTATAGTTTACATATGTAATTTTATTGTATTTCATAATTGCTGTGAACATTTTATTGTGCATACACATTCCTCTATGGGTTTACATCCAAAACTATGTGTATATTATGATGGCAATTTGAAATACTTATTCAAAATCATAATTTTGGCAATACATGATTTTTCTGTTTTTAAGTACTGACTTTACAACTTAATTCTATCTTAAGCGGTAATTCAACTCTATATTCATAAAGAAACAGAAAGGGAAAAATATTTTCTCCTTCATGTTAACTTTTTTTCTGACAGTAGTTAGTGTCTATGGGGGCACAGTGGGATGTTTTAGGACATTTACACATTATGTATTAACTCAGGATATTTAGGTTATCCTTCTGAAGTGGTTATCTCTTTTTGGGTTTTTTTTGTTTTTTGTTTTTTTTTTGGTACCAGGGATCAAACTCAGGACCTCGCCCTTGTTAGGCAGGCGCTATGCTGCTGAGCTAAATCCCCAGCCCCCTGAAATGGTTATCTCTTTGTGATGATACCAAAATCTCCTAGCTATTTTCAATCATATTACACAATACTGTTACCTGTAGTCATCCTTCTGTGTAATAGAACAATCCCCATTACTGTTCCTCCCCACTGTCCAGTACCCACATACTATGGCTTTATCACTAATAAACATCCAACATCTGGTATTTCAAATTAATTTTAAATATTTTTAAATTTTAAAAGTGAGTTTTGTTTTTAAGGAAAATTATTTAATCTGGGCAACTTATTCTGGACAAAAAAGGTTGAGTTTAAATAGATTATGCTAGATTTCTGTACAGATTGATTTCCTGCCCCTATTTTGTTTATAGAGTATATTTGACAAATGAAGTTTTCTGAGTCTGTGCTCTCCTGTCTGCTACAATATCCCCCATGCTTATCTCTTAGCTATTGGTTTTTTTTTCTTTAGTACTGGTGGTTGTACCCAAGGCCTTTTCACTGAGTTACATCCCTAGCACTTTTAAAATTTTCTATATTTTTCAGACAGGGTCTACTAAATTGCCCAGGGCTTGACCTTGCACTCTTGCCTGAGCTTCAAAAGTGCTGGGATTATAGGTGTGCACTAGTATACCCAGCTAGCCCTTTGTTTTTTGTGGGGGTTTTGGGGGGTTTTTTCCAGCTAGCCCTTTGAAACAAAGTGTACTCTAGACCCCTCTGTCTTGCTAAATAGCAGTCCACAACCTGGGACTGGGTTGGAGAAGCAAGAGGTACTCAAGGCTTTTCTGGCCTCAGTCTTAAGAGTTTCCCAAGAACAGGCCAATAGACTTTGGCTCTGACAGGAGATAAAACTCACATAGACATGCCCAAGCATTTGGTGTCAGAACTAGACAGTCTTCGTGGAATTGATATTTTCAACATTTATTCGAATAAGCCAGTGGGGTGTTATCAGCTAATGCCACCTTCATCTGTCTACATCTTCTGATTTGTCCTGTCACACATGAAGAGTAAATGCTCCATTAGAAGACACTGAGCACGGTCTGACAAGGTTGTCCCTAGTGCAAGCTTCATTCTTTCACAGTAGGCCCCTTGAGGGATCTGTGGTATGGAAGAGCCCTCTCTAGGTCTAAAGATGTTTTAAAGTCACAGTAACAATTTAGATTTTAGTTTAAAAAACAAAACTAAAAAAAATTCAGATCAAAATTCACATTCTTTTAAGTTATAAGCACACATTGTAAACATTAATGTATTTCACTGTGACATTTATTGACAATTGTCAGGTAAAAGAGCCAAAGACCAAGACCAGACCAGGCCACAACAAGCCTTTATTAGGGGAATAGATCTGCCAGGCTGTCTCTGAACAAAGGAGAGACAAAAGCAATATGGGTGGGGCAGGGAGAGTCTTTTATAGAGACTGGGGTGGGGTTTGTAGGGGCTGAGGTGGGGTTGAGTGAGGTAGTGACTAGGGAATGGAGGAGCCAGTGATGTCACTAGGTGGTAGGAGGTGAGTGAGTATTAGGTTACTTTCTAGGTGGGAACAGGGGCATACTGGGAAGAAGGGTTTATTCTTGGGTGGGAGCAACCATCTTGACATGACGTCACACGGGAGGGGGCAAGGCACGATATGAAGAGGGCAGCTACTATACATAATAGCTGCTGAGTTAGTGGGAGACCTATCAACACTTTTAATAGGTCTTAGAGAAAAAGCTAGTTTGTTTATATTTACCTGTTACCATAATCTTTCACTAATCCTAGAATATTAGAGCTATAACATTGTTTAAACTAGCTTTAATAGTATTTTCTTTTTGAAAATCAGATGAAAGCTCTGGATAGTTTACCAGAAAAAATGTGTATACATGTACATGTATGTTTGGGGAAAACTTGGTGTTTGAGAATTGCATGCCACAGGTGGAAGATGCCAAAAGATTAAAAAAAAAAAAAAAAAGAAGCAGAAAGATGCAAATTGCATAAAGTACAATTTAATAGGGCCCAAGGGAAGAGGAATAACTTGAGTAGGAGCAAGACAGGATTCCCACACCCCAAGATAGGAGGAAGGGGGTTTATGTTAAACTACACAAAGGTGATCTTCAGCAAAGGGAATGTAACCAGGCTTTCTCAAAAAGTATTAACATATCAAATGGTGGTAAGAAACAGTCCAGGCACCAGCAGCCAGTACCGAATCTTTAACAATTTTATCTTGTATGACTTGGAAAATGTTCCATAGTCACCTGATGGGCAAAATGGCTATAGTTATGTCAAGCTGGATCCCTACAACATACATGGATCATTTTCCAGTAATTCTCAGGTGATTCACCAAAACACCTGTGGACTTGTGGATTCAAAATTAAGAATTCCTCATTTAGTACCATAGTTTTATTCTACAGGTAAAAAAGATGAGGTCCAGAAAGCACAAATACTGTATCAACAGTAAACCAGAGCCAGGCATGGTGAGCATGTCTATAATCCCAGTACCCTTGGAGGCTGAGGCAGGAGGATTACAAGTTTGAGCTCAGTCTGGGCAACTTACCAGGACTGTCTCAAGATATAAAATAAAAAGGCTGAGGGTATAGCTTAGTGCAAAGGCCCTGGGTTCAAGGTTCATTACCACCAAAAAAAAGGGGGGGTGGGGTAGGGAAGAGGTAAGAGGAGGAAGAGAACTGTAACCAGCCAGTAAGTGGCTGAGGGAAATCCAACCATAGCACAAACTAAATTGGCTGGACTCACTCTGGGTTAGTAATTACAAAAATCAGCACTCTACGTTAGCAGATGGTCTGCTGCGGCTTCAGGAGCTTTCATTCTCAACCTCTAGGATTACTTTATACTTTCTCTTCAGACATTCCCCAGTCCTGCAACCACACAATTACCCAGCTTCCTAAGTCAGTCTTCCCCTTCCAAATCCTTTATCTTGCTGAGGGAAATAGCTTTTTTTCTTTTAGGTCATTTCCATCTCAGGTAATAGCCTTTTCCTTGTCATCTATCTAAACGCTCAAGCCAGACATTGAAGCTTAGAAATTCAAGCCCAAGTCACTCTTGGTAACTAGATTCCTATGTTCCTCTCATAAGCACTGATCAGCAAACTCTAACATTTTTACCATCTAAATATATCTAAAATCCCAATACTCCCTCTGCAACCACATTGGTCAAAGCTACTACCATCTTTTCCTCATTTGCCTTTTTTTTTTTCCATACTGGGGATCAAACTCAGGACCCTGCACTTGCAAGGTAGGTGCAGTGCCACTGAACTAAATTCCCAGTCTGCAACAGCCTCTTAACTGCTCACTTGCGCTTCTGTTCTTCTTGAAGTCATTTCCCAATAGGCAGAATGACCTTTTAAAAATGTTTATTAGAGGCTGGGGATGTAGTTCAGTGGCAGAGCAGTTGAGTAGCAAGTATGAAGCCCTTAATTCGATCTCCAACACCACACACACACAAAAAAGTACAGTATCAGGTTGCTTCACTGCCTAAAATGGTCTTTACTTTCCCACCTGGTATCTAAACCAGTAACTGCATGCTCACTTTATCTCCTCCCCACTGCTCTCATGATTTGTCACTTTTCAGTTCATAGAAAACAGAACTCTTGACACCTAGTAGTCAGGGCCTTAGCACACATTCCCTCTGCCTGGAATGGTCCCTCCAGCTTCCTCACCTTCATTCTTTCACTCACTCCATCCTCTGATTCTCAGGTTAAAGGTTCTTTCAACCCATGGAGGTTTGTGAACTTGTGTCACAGAAAAGAATTTTAGGACTTGTAAGAGGTATAGCCAGGTTTACTAGGCAGAGTTAGGTGAACAGAGAATTCTAGCTTGAGCAATTTGGACTCACTGATGTAAGTTCAGACTGGTACCTCACAAGAGAGGCCAGCCATTATGAATTTGGTATGGTGGGCCAGGGTTTGGTCAGTCATCTGTTCCTCCTTTATAGCTCTGGAGGAAAGACAATCAGTCCCCATGAGATGGTGGTTCTTGCTTGGGACGGGAATACCCTGCTTTTCATATGAGGCATCTTCCCCTCTTTGGGGGAAGTGGTATCATAGGTAATCTGCAAGGCTCTGCTTTTCCTAGAACCCAAGATGATTAGATTCAGAACAATGACTGGAGACTTGTTGGTACTATTTGCTCCAGGGGCCTAGAAAATCACTTCCAGTACTTTTTTTTTTTTTAGGTCAAAAAAACATTTATTTATTTAGCATTTAGAATAACAATATTTCCAGTAGGGAAGGACTGCTGGGTTTCAGGTATAAAACAAGAAGCATAAGTACAAAGCAACCAGAAGATGATGGATAGCAAAAGTAGGAACAAAGTAAGAGGAGGTCCAATGTCAGTGAGTCTTCATGCACAAAACGATCATTTTATTTTAAGCCAATTAATTTTTTTTCATCTTATATTTTAAAGTTACAGCAACATAAGGCAAATGCAGCCAGCCTTCAAGGACACTCCTTGTGTCTCTTCAAGTTTCTACTTTGGGGAAAGTCCTCTAGTATAGTGCTACTAAAACACAAATCATGAAAAATAAGAAAAACTCTATTTCAAGCAAGGTCAGTGGTATGTATGATATAGCAAAAGCTTATTTATAACAACCAGTTTTATTTTATAGCTGCACTGACATGTAACTTTCAAAATATGTATCAATCATTAATGTCTGCTAAAATGTAGGTTAATCCAGCAACATGTCAATTTAAGTATTTATTGGAGACCCTACTATTTAAGCAATAGACATTAATTTTCTTGACGAAAATGAGGTAAAACTGACAGCTTATATAGTAAAGTAGTAAGATACAAAATTATTTTCCCAGTTTTGCTTTAAAAATATATCCCTAAGGTTGTTAAGAAAAACTCTGGCTTTATCCAAGAGTATTATTTAGCTGTAATTCTTCATTCATCATCTATTGTTGGTTTGATTGTCACTCCTCTTCTTATCTGACCCCAACCAATTAAACGCCAGTGTTTTTCAACTCTTCGACTAAGGGCAATTTTTTCTCCAACTTCTGTGCACACAGGATTAGTAAGAACTATTTTACTCAAATCAGCCTTCACTGCACTAACTCTTCCTCCTGTAGACAGAGATCCTATGTTCACCATGAGCACTTCATTCCTGGAGAGCTTTTGCACCTTTGCTGCTTTTTTGCCTCCTTCTATACGCACACCTAGAAGTCGTCTAAGTAGAAAATAGGAAATTTCCAATTCTGTGAATATCTCAGGTAATGCTCCAACTGCACCGAGTACCTGTCCCACCATTCTGTCAGCTCGGCACAATGTTGGGTCAATTTTTGTTCCAACTCCAATGAGACCACCTGGAGCAGCGTACTGAAGATCATTATGTTCTGCAAAAAGTGATACAATTTTAGAAAAGATTGGTTTGCACATGAGTTTTCCTTCACCATTTTTGGAAACAATACCAGGTCTGATTTCTATCTCCTGGCCCACCTTTAATACTCCTTTTAAAATACTACCACCAGCTACACCCCCTTTGAGGTCATCAACTTCACAGCCAGGTTTGTTAACATCAAAAGATCTAATAACAATAAGTTGGGGTTCTGCAGTAAAGTCTCTTGTAGGTATTGGAATTTTCTTTACTATATACTCACAGACAACTTCAATATTGTATTTCAGCTGAGCAGAAATTGGAATAATAGGTGCTCCTTCAGCTACTGTACCTCGTACAAATGCAAGGATTTGTTCATACTGCTCTTTAGCCTGACTTTCTTTTAACAGATCAATTTTATTTTGCAGAATCAAAATATGTTTCAATTTCATAATTTCTATGGCAGCCAAATGTTCAGAAGTCTGAGGCTGAGGACAGGATTCATTACCCGCTATCAACAGAAGAGCTGCATCCATCACTGCTGCACCATTCAGCATAGTAGCCATTAAAATATCATGACCAGGACAGTCAACAAAGGAAACATGTCTGACTAGTCTGAAGTTCCCTTTGGTTCCCGGGATGTCTGTAGGAAACTCATCAGATGTACTACTTCCACAAGATCTATAACATTCTGGCCGAGGACAGTTTGAGTCATCAAGTTTATAAATCTTAGCATTAGCATATCCAAGCTTGATGGTAATATTTCTTTCCAGTTCATTTTTGAACCTGACAGTGTGAACACCAGAAACAGCTTTTACAACTGTGGATTTCCCATGAGCAACATGACCAATTGTACCTATATTAATCGTAGCTTGTCTACTGATAACTTCTTGTGAAAGTGGAGTCAACTTGGTAACATCCAAGGTGGCGAGATCCTGACGAGAAAGGTGAGGCTGGCCCACAGTCACTCTGACCTCTCCCCCCGCCATCTTGGCAGAAAAGGAAGCACTTCCAGTACTCTTTATCTTGGTATCCTGTCTTGTAAGGGAATGAGACAGGCTAATCTTGGGCTAACAAATTGTTGCAGTAAATACTCCTTTAGTGTAACATGCCTATATGAAGAGTCGAGCTCTTGAAATTCTTTTCTGTTAACTTTAAGGTATTTAAGGAGACAAACAAAATTAAGTTTCCTTGTCCTTTTTCTGATTCTATCTTACCTCAGTTCACCCCTCACATAAAGTTGGTAGTGACACTTCTCACTCCAATATGCACTCCGACAGCACTTCTGATGTATTCGAGCACCTTAACACAATGTTACTTTACTTCCATTTTTTTCTTGTCTGTCTTCCCCTCACTTGAATATATGCCCCATAAAGATGGAAACTGTTAGTCTACCTAATGTAGTAGTTTAATTATTACGAGTAGACACTTAGAGCAGCCTAACCAGATAACGGAACTGATTCAACCAGCTGGTTAATCTAGCAGCCACCTAGGCTTAGAAACCTGAAAAGAAAACACAAGAACAAAGGATAAAAGCTTAGGAAAAGAATAGAGGACAGAGTTTTTCCCAGGAAAGAAACTTACTAGACAGAGTATGCTAACAGCTCTTCCCTTCCTCCAGGCATTACAAGATAACCAGTTTTTTAACTCTTTGAACTCATTACCTTTGAAACAATCACCCCCATCTATATAACAGCATGACAAAGAAAGCCTGTTGGACTTCTTTCCACCAAGAGCTTTTTTCTTATTTCTAATAAATATTCTAAATTCCTCCTTTCATCGTCAAATTTATTTTTCGATTTTGGGAGACAACTCAGGTTTATACAAAATTAACTGATTACTAATATACTCCCAGATAAAACATAATGCCTACCACCATAGTAGTGGCTCAATAAGGAAAACCAGAACGATGCAAGGAGAAATCAATTCTCTTTCACTGTTACCACTAGGTATCAGCCCAACCCTTGAACCGTCCCAGGCTACCTACAGGCAACACAGAAGTTTTGGGGTTTTTTCCAGCATTTTGAGACAGGGTCTCACTATGTACTCCAGACTGGCCTTGAATTTGCAGCAATCGTTCTGCATCAGCTTCCTGAATGCTGGAGTTACACGTGTGCATCACCAAGCCCTGCTGAGAATGCTCATTTTAAAACTTGTGCTACCGCTCTCAAAAGCCTGTTCTGGGGATGTAAGTGCCTGCTTAGCACACACAAGGATCTGGATTTGATCTCTAGCACCATATACCCAAACAAAGAGCCTATTCTCCATTTAAGTCAAAGAATAAATTCAAAACCCTACAAGGCTTTACATGCTCCTGTCTCCTTGCTTCCTCTCTAACCTCATCTTGTTCCCCCAGCTAACCATGAGGGCCTGATAAGAATACTGATGAAAGGGACAAAGTATTTATTTTATTCTAAAAAGTAACCTAGTCATATAGGGGCTTTAAGGGTGATTCCAAGGTTTCTGGTCTAGGTAGTTGTTTACAGTTAACCCAGATGAAAATTCACAAGTCAAAACGCATTTACGAAGGAAATCATTTAAGAAATCATGGCACTTGCTTGAGTTCAAGAGGCAAGGTGCTTTGACAAGGGCAAAAGTTAGAATCCTGGGGGAAATGTCAACATTTAAGGGGGCAGAAACAGTACAGCGCCAGTATCATGGTATTATTCAACGGTCTACTCTCCGGACTCAAAACTACATGAGTGGAAGGGAAGCAGGTGTACACCACGGTTTCACAGACGAGAAAAGCGCTAGAAATTTCGCGTCCACGAAGAGCATTCAGAAGCGCTTCTGCCTTGGCAGTATATGACTGTCTTCTTTCCTTGCTAAAATCCTCGCCCCTAAGGGTCTACCTGAAGAGACAGGTAATGAGATAAAGATTAGCATTCTGTGGATCGGGTCCACACAGTTGTACATCATGTTACATCTGCGGCCGCCATTCTAAAGCAATGGGGACAAAGACAACAATCTGAGCTGTACATTGGTTTCCTTTAAGTCACTAGACCCAACAGGCCGTGTTTATCACCCTAAGCAGCTTTAGGAAAACTGCAGACAAATCCAGACCATGGAACTCCCAGGTTGGCCGAAATATCACCACGAAGTCCGGCCTTCTACCTTGCCTCCTTGCGCAAATACGCCTTTTCTCCCGGCCGATACCCCGGAAGCCCTGCCCACTTCCGCGACGCTTAGCACGCGGCACACGACTTGCCTCAGCCAATGGTGTGCTTTGCAGGAAACGTAACCTCTGACCTCTGGGCTAATCAGAGACGGTGAACAACTCGCGAGAGGTTAGTTGAAGCTGACTCCGCCATCTTGGAGATGGGAGACGGGTGATGGCTGTGGTCTTTCCGCTAATGCAAACAACAAAACAAGCACAGTAGTCACTCCCAAGTGTGGCTCTTACCCCTGTAACAGTTCATGAAAAGCTATAGAAGAATCAAGAGTCTCAAAGTCGAGCGCAGCGACACTGAAAGCCCCTTTACTTGCCTTCTAGGGCGGCAGAAGTGAAGTTACTGAGACCCACGAGAATGGTGCAGTCCTGTTCCGCCTACGGCTGCAAGAACCGATATGATAAGGATAAGCCTGTTTCTTTCCACAAGTGAGTAAACCTCGCGGCTAACAGAGCGGACCCCGCTAGGGCTGAGAGCGCGCGGCCGGCTGGGCCGGGGCGGAGCCAGGCGCGTGTCCGCGCGACCGCTGACGCGAGGGGTTGGGCGGGGCTGGCGCGGTGGGCGGGGCTCTCAGACCTGGGAACCGCGCCTGCGTGGTCTTCCTGCGCGGCCTATTACTGGGCTTCCTGGGGCCGTCTCTGCGCCAGGTTCTCTCTGGGGCACTGCCAGCTAACAGCGGAGGTTGCTTAGGGGTCGCTCAACTGTCTGGGTTTCCTAGTAACTACTCACGGGTCCCTTTGAAATAGAAACAAAGACTAAACAGGTAGAAGACGCTGTTTTCCTCCTTGCTGTGGCTGGGAGGCGTGATAAGAATTAAGGATTGATGTTTGGACCCAATTTCTGGCAACCAATCTTCAAGAATCCTTAGATTTTAGAGGAAGTTTGTGGTGTCTCTAAAATGAATCTTTATGTCTCAGCACAAAACATTGATAATAAGAACAAGAATCGGATATTATAAGGGTCGATGTGAGCTATTACGAACTTGTCCTTATTTTATCCAGTAGCTACTGCAGGTTAGAGTCCTAGAGTGAAAAAAAACAAAAACAAAACAAAAATCTCTTGAAAATAGGAAAAGGAAACTCCAAATTGAAATTACTTAATGATAAATGGTCTGAAAAATGTGACATTTTCATTAAGCCAGTTCCGCTTTTACAAAGTTTACATTAGGTTTACATTAGGTTTTGTCTACAAGAATTTGTTGACTGATAGCTAAGAATGGTAACTAAGTCAGATCCAGTAGTAAATTTTACAGATTATTCATCGGGAAATAATTATAAAAGAACATTTAAAAATATTCCTTAAGTGTCTTTGGTGGAGAACTGTTTATGTGTAACAGGGGATGTAGATGTGTTTTTGTATGTTTCATGTAATGTGAGATGGGCCCATAGAAATAAAGGTGCACAGAGCATAGAGAGCTGTCCTGAGTGTTGGTGCTTATTGATATTGTGTGTATCAGTAGTTAAGATTGACATACATGTATTAGAATATTGTATTTCAGCAGAATGTTGAAAGGCTAACTGAATCAAAAGAAAACCTCTATGTTATCTTTTACCTAAAAGAACGGTTTTAGGCCGGGGATTTAGCTCAGTGGTTCTCTCGCCTGCCTCGCAAACGCAAGGTCCTGAGTTCAATCTCTGGTACCAAAAAAAAAAGTTTGAGAAAGAACGGTTTTAGAGCAAGTAGGTGGAAAGATCTTAACAAACAAGAGAATTTGTAGACCTTGGGCCAGAAGGCTTCCTAGGTACTGAATTTTACAAGAGATTGCTATCTTAATTTGTACTTCTGAAGGCCGTTTCCAGCAAGGATTTTCTAAGACTACCTCTTCTCTCAGCTTCCAAATAGTTGCAGTAGGGAAAGTTTGCTGTGCTTCAAAGAAAAGGGACTATTGTAAAGAATTCGTTAGATTTTCGCTAGATTTTCATGATAATTGCAGTTAAGCTCTAGCATACATGAAAGAGAAACTCTGGAGAATAGATTTGAAACATCCTTTGGTTGTTTTTTAATCCCTCCCTTTTACCACCAAGTCTTTGACCTGGAAAAGTAGATTTAAACTCCTCAAGGAGCTGGGGATTTAGCTCAGTGTTTCCGCCCCCTGCCTCACAAGTGCAAGGTCCTGAGTTCCATCCCCAGTACCCTAAATAAATAAATAAATAAACTCCTCATGGACCTGGCTATAATGGACATGACCCACTTAAGGGAGAAAATAGTTTATTTCTTTATCATTGTTGCCTATAATTTCATTAATTGAAAATTTTTGGAGGTTTGGAGAGTTTTTATTGGGAGGAGAATAGCTCTTGGATTTCCAGGAGGGTTCTGGAATGGGGTGGCCGCATGACCTCCCTGATCTACAGCTAATTATAGGTAAACAGCACAGAAATTGCTAAATTGTTTAGAGGTCACCTATCACAGGTAGCTTTGTGAATTTAAAATGACCAATTGGGGCTCAGGCTTTTAACCCAGTTCTCCAACTTCCAGGGTTTCATGGAAACTGGAATAATTTCCTTGAAATTCAAGAATTTAGTAGGGAGTGGCTGCACCTCCCTTTATTAGGGGGTGGGCTGCATTCCATGCTGCCAGAGGAAATTCATTTGTCAAAAGTCCTAGTTGGGACCTGGGATTTAGCTCAGTGGTTCTGCTGCCGGCCTGGAAAGCAAGTTTGATCCCTGGTACCGAAAAAAAATGCCTAGTTCTCTGTCTGTTCTTTATCAGAATGGCTGGCCACCCCACTCTATCTCAGGCTGGTCTATTAGCTAGCTGCCTTACTCAAAAGATAACCAAATAGGCCGGGGATTTAGCTCTGGTTTCACCGCCTGCTGTGCAAGCACAAGGACCGAAGTTCAATCCCCGGTACCAAAAAAAAAAAAAAAAAAGATAACCAAATAAACTGTTTTCTACATTTCCCCTCTATGAAGAAATATCCTTAACTATTGTTAAGGGAGAATGGTGGAAGACAGAATCTAGCTGCTTCCTGCCGAAAGTGGTTGTTGTAGGGGAGGTGGCAGTCAGACTTCCCGGGGAGCTAATCTCAGGGGCCTTGGATAGAAATCATGTTGGGGTTTAACAGTTACAGACTCTTTAGAGGATCAATCTAGTTGACCCTGGTAAAAGGAGCCCAGCACATTCATCAGTGCCTCCATCTGTGTGACCATTTGGAGTTTGACAGCTTCTAGGCAAGAAGAAATAAATTTTACCAATAAATTAAGAATACATGGCCCAAACATATTAACCAGAATGAAAAGACAAATTGGGGAAGTAGCCAAGGTTAGACACTATTTTTAAGGGACTGGGATAGGGATTATAACTAGCTGGGTCCTACACCTGCCTATTTATAGAGGTTATCTATAACTCTGACATTTATTGTTTTAAGATCTTTTTTCACCTGATGCAAATTGTTTATCTAAAGACAAGTTTTATTTATTAGTGCATAAGTTCCTCTAGATTTAGCTGTAAGAAGATGGATAGCTCTGTGGCTTTGAAGGACAATTTTAGCTAAAGAATTTAAAGACCATTTTTGAGCTTCTGTAGCTGTTACTATTGCTTTCTAGCCTCATTGAACCATAATAGTGATCAACTACAGATGTAGCTGGAGACTGCTAGCAGTGTAGTGATTGAAGCCCCCTTCTATATCTACCCTATATTACTATTATTTTTTGGTTATACTTTTCTGCTGTGTGTTTAAGACCAAGTTAAAGTGAGACCTGTGTTAATGCTATATATATCAAGGTCAGTTAAGGCTCTTTGGGGGTTAATTTTGGAACCAAGTGTAGAGCCTCTTAGTTCCTCTGTCATTGTCAGACACCAAGATGGGGCACGGACTTGCTTGACCATGTGGCTTCTTGTGGAAGCATGGGATATGTTCTCCTCTTTAGTAACCCTCCTTTGAGCACAGTGTACAGTGATTGCCTCCTGTTCTCTGAGGTCCAAGGATCTCCCTACTCAGGAGGTTGGGTGACTCACCGGAGGCATAGGATCTTGTGGAAAGGTCCCCTCATGTCCTGGTCCTTGTTGTCCTTGGAGGGCCAGGGCCAAAGTATTGGCAGTCCTGTTAGCCCAGTTATCCTTTCTTAGCTTTGGTCTCTAAACCTCAGTTGTTGAACACCCAAGAGATCAGTTAACACCAGTATTGTAGTAGGAACACTAGGTTTAACTATTTTATCTAGATATCAAGCACCTTGAAACAACAAATGACCAGAGAACTGTTAATGTTTTATCAATCTTAGTCATTTTAGAAGTTGAATTGGTGTAAAATATTAACAGATAACAATTATAACATTTTATAGAGAAGATAAAAGATAAAGGGAAACATAGTATTTTAGCATGACAGTCATGATGACATTATTGTATCAGAACCATTAGGTTTTGTTATTATATTTGAAACACATTTGAATCTCCATTTTAGTGTAAAATAACTTTTTAGTTATCTTTATCTAATTACGAAATATTAAGTGACATCATGAAACTTTTACCTAAATTTGGTAGCTATCCTTTCTTACCAGAGTGACATATAAGTAGAATATACTTGTTTATAGATGCATTTTGCACGTTTTTAATGCCTAATCTCTAATCATTAAAGCGACATTATGGACTCCACAGTGTTTGGGTACCTCTAACAGTTATAACACAATTACATAACAATCACATAAGCATAAGCCTGAAAACATATCTGTATCATCTGGCAGACTGTCTCATATTGGATTGGCATGTACATTTCATCGCAAATAGCTAGAAAACAAGTATGAGAAAGCCAGATGTTTGAGGCTGGAAAAGTTTACCATCATAAATAACTTTAGCCTGGAAGTTACTGTATGTTTCTTCAGTTTTGATCTTTGAGGACCTGTACATTTGGGAAACATAAGAACATTTCATATACCATGAGGTTAGCAATAATTAGTGTCACAGCTATATAGAAATCTTTGTACATATTTAGTTTTAAAAAGTAAATTTAGATTGTTTTAGCAAAATTTAGATTGTTTTAATAGGTTTTACATTGTATAACTGTACTGACAAGAATTAAAGGACATCTTCAGAGGTCTTATAAATTTAGGAAATGGTTTTTAACCACAAATAGATTTAGTATGCAATATGTAACTTCCTTTATATAATAACAAAATGGGCCGGGGATTTAGCTCAGTGGTGCTGCCGTCTGCCTCAAAAGCAAAGGGTCCCGAGTTCGATCCCCGGTACTAAAAAAACCAACAATATATAATAACAAAATGTTTGTTTAATCAAAGTCAGTACATGTAGATCAAGTTTTAAATGGCAGGACCAAATTTAAAGAGAAGTCCAAGTTTGATCTTTTCTTTATGTCTAAGGTCTAGAGGTATAGTGTATAAAAGAGAGCACCTATTAGCTACTTTGACTATATTAACTTTGTGTAGTTTTAATTTTATAAACTTAACTTTAAAGCTTAGATGCAGCATATCTTGTT